CCCCAAAACCCCAAAACCCCAAAACCCCATGAGGATGGCATTATAAATTGAATTGATTAAAAAGTATTTTAGAAAGATTATTGTGACTTTTATACAAATATATACTAGATTTTAACTTATTAAAGCTCAAATAATGTTGCAGTAGAACAATACTTAAGCAGAAAATTTCCAGTAAGACTCCTAAGATGAAACTAAATCTAATATTTCCTCAACATTCACGTTGTTTGATCTGAAGAAATCAATGTCAATTTTGAGAGACCTCTATGGAGTACCGATTTGCGAATAACCATTGGTCACTGAAGATGAGAGAATCGAGAAATATTTGGCCTTGCGTGATCTAAAAGAATTTCTAGAGTCTTCTCAGGATTAAGATTCAATGAGAGTGCTTTAGAACAGATAAATACTTAGTTAATTATCGAAATAAGTGACATTAGACGAGCTAAAACCATTAGAATATGATTCTGACGAAGAATTCATAAAAATTGACACATCGATCTAATTGTCTTAACACATTGGAGAGCCAATGATGGACATCTTTTAGTAGCAATTGGATGAAAATGGGCATTTATTAATAGAAATCGAAGGCATTAATCATAATATGTCTGATGAAGCGCAAGTCAAACTTTACATCGAGCAACTTAAGGATCTATTTAAAAGAGAAAGAGGCAAAGACTCAATAAAAAAGAATAATTTGGGAGATATATTCAGCACATAGATTGAAACATCAATCATACTATAATCACACTTACTACCATAAAATGAGTATGAGCGTATTGATAAACATCAAACCATTATTTATGGAAACGTTAAGGCTTTAATCCCTATGTTTAGAGAGAAACTGCAGGTTGAACACCTACCTACTGAAGATGAAACTACATTTAAGACCAGATATAAACGAGGCAACTAAGCTAGCATCATGGATAAGAGGATATTCGGTATACTTACAAGATATCAAGTCGGATATGTTCCAGGAGTAGATATTTGCTTTACTGAGGATGATCAAACATTCGTTAGAGATTCTTACGTTTTCAAAAGTTTGATTTCTAAGAATCTCTATGAGCAACAAAATTTAAATGATGATCAGATTGAGACAGTAAGAGTAAGCATTGAACAAGAAAAATTCAGACTCAATTGCTATAATGATTATTCTTATGAAGCAATCAAGGATGATAATCAGTAGCACTATGTTAGAGTAGCTACACTCAATCAGATAGAAACATTCCATCGATATCTTATGAATGATCTCTATAAAGAAGAGAAAGCAATTAATTTTAGTAAAGCATTTACTCAAGGAAGAGAACTTGATAAAAAATATTACTTTGTTCCTTTAAGACTTGTTCCAAACCCTAATAGTAATACTCTGGAATATACGATTGATAGGAAATTATTATCAAAGGTTGAAAAACTAAGTTAAGAAGGCTATAGATCATGCTAAATACCAATCATTGATGAAATAAAGGTAAAAGGAATCTAAACATTGTAGGAAAGGCTTGATTACTTAAATAAATATATTCTTGTGAAAGAAGATAAGCCTCACAGATGCTATCATTTCCATACAATACTTGAAGACCTCAATTAACTCTCTGCTGAAGAATTAGTTAAAGCCATTAAGGGGTCTACTGATAATCTAGTGTGTAAAACTGCTTATGAACTCTTGTTTAATGCCGCCACTAGATTCTAGTCTATTAATTCATTCAGATAAAGTTTAGTTGAGGGTCATATCGGAGATAGACAAAAGATTGAGACCTCTCCTATAATGCTATTAGATCCTGCAAAAGTTATTTCTCATTTTAAGTTCAAATACTCATTGGACTAATGCCCTAAAAATATTATCAGCTCTAAGAATCAATATAAAAAGAGATTCAAAGCGAAGAATAACTTAACTACTTCTTAAGGAAAACCTATTTTCTCCTCGTTCAACATTTTTAAGCATTATATGAATATCATTCACTGGAAAAGAGCCAGTCAACTCCCTTTAATAATGCAATTCTTCGAAAGATCCCTCTACTGCCATCAACTAACAGCAGAGTTAGGAACATACATACATCCAGAGTTCGTACTATGGGCAACTTCTGCACCTGATAACAAAGCTTCTAAAAAGTCTTATGAAACACTAGAAACCTATGGAGACACCATACTCAAACTTGCAGCGACACTTTTATCTTACTTTCATCTTTAAAATGAGCAAGATGCGGATGAATCAAAGATTGATTAACTCAAGATAGTATTCATCACTAATCTTTATCTGCTTAGAGTTGGAAAAAGACTAAAGTTAAGCAAGTATATAAGAAATAATGAATAGGATTTGAATAAATGGAGTCCACCTTTTTCTGAATAAGTTTAGTAAACAGAAAATCTATCTTGCACTGGTAAAAATGTGGCAGACTGTGTAGAAAGCATAATCGGAGCACATTTCATGACTAATAATGTGAGAAGAACATTTGAACTAATTTCTAATATGAAGATAGTGCCCCTTGTATAAGCACATTTGATTGACATGTTTCCAGATAAAGATCTAACATTTGTCCTTAGTTAGGAACTTGATGATTATAAGTTTGATATCGAGAATGACAAAGTTGAGGACATTTATAGAAAGTATGTAGAAGTTCATATGATTGACCAAAACATCTAAAATTATCTTCACAGCATTATTAGAAAAGATAAGCCAGTTGATAGATTCGGTTCTGCTTACTTTGACTACTTATCATCTCAAAATATAAAGGATAAATTATGCTCTGAGATTGAACAAGATCTAATTCAACTACTTTCCCCAGTTGAAGATATAATAAACTATAAGTTCTAAAATAAGAAATTATTGTTAGAAGCCTTAACTCATAAGACTTTCAAAGATAATTATGGCTTGACATTATTTTATGAAAAACTTGAAGTCCTTGGAGATGCCATTTTAGACTATTTAGCAAACTCTAACTTGATAAAGTATACTATTCTTGAGAAATATAACCTGAAAGAGAGACTCTCCTAACAGTATATTACCTCAGAGGACTTCCAGCCATTTGATGCTCATTAAGCCAAATCCTTGCTGACTAAGAATGATTTTCTTGCCAAATTGGTATGCCTATTCGGTATACATAAGTATATTCTTTACTTTAAGCCAAAGTAAATGATGCCAGCAGAATTGAAAGAGAATTTGATATTGGAAAATAATGGGGAATTTGAACCTTGGAAGTATGCAAAGAAGCTTAAAGAGCTTGGAAATCAAGTTGACTTTGATAAGTATATCAGATATTCATTTAAATAAGATTTCTTAATTAATGGCAAAGAAACTGAAATATATGAAGCGCCTAAGATTCTGGGTGATATATTTGAATCTCTCGTTGGAGCGATATTCATTGATGGAGGAATAGAGAAAGTTCTAGATGTTTATCAACACCTGCTCTCACCTTTCATTTTATTTGTGGCCAAATTTAGCAAGAAACTAAACAAAGAACCTAAGGAGGACTTTATGATTCAAGCTAATTTGCTTAGAATAAAGCCAGTATTTAAACATCAAGAACTAAATGTCACTGATATTTCTTAGTATATAGCATTTGATAATTTCAAGGATAGTGATGACTCTCTTTTTAATAATGGTTTGGCTTAGAGTGAAGAAGAGTCTATGACTATGACTCATAAACTATTTAAAGTTGATATAATATTCAATAATAATGAAGTGATGACCTCTGGCATAGGGAATACTAGAAAATAAGCTGAGAGAAATGCAAGTATTATGGGATAAAAGTGGCTTTTGGATAATACTAAGCAAAGCTAAAATATTGAGAACATTTTGAATGAGTTTATGTAGGATATTTGATTTAGCAATGAAATTGGTTAGGTTATAATTAATTATGCTATGGATTAATTAAAATGATTTTTATAAGCCATTATTAGATTTATGGGGTTTTGGGGTTTTGGGGTTT